TTGGCTTTCCCCTTTGAGTTGTAAAAAATAATAATAAGTGACTCAATCTCAAGAATATATAACATTAAAATTCAATAAAAAAAACTATGAATTACTCTCGAGCAGTAATAGAGTAATTAATGTAAACAATTATATTATAATAAGAAACATAAAATTAACTATAATGTTTTTTAAAGAAATTACCCGACAGATTGGATCCTGTTACTCGTCTCGTTCCCTGCATCAGCTATATATATCTGTGCGAATTTTGGTTGATTTCCTTCCAATGGTAGTAAACTACCAATGAGGTGATGGTTCTGTCCATTCAACCTAAATATCGGCGGTGATGTACCGATATTAATGTCCCAATCAATTTTTCCTCCCATCGATGTAAACGAAAACATACTATTGTATGAACGTATGTTTTCGACAAAATTTTTGCTTCTGTCATTAGCCCCAAATAGTAAATTGTGGAGTTCCTTTGGGGGTGATCTCATAAACGGCAAGACTATGTTTCCTTGATTACAACATAGCGTAAATTTTGGGACCTTTGGACGGTAGTGTTTCTCTACACGCTCGGCATACCAAAATATTGCTCCACAATGTTGACAAGCATATGTAGGATCACCAATATCATCATATTCTATAACCAAATATCCAAATATATAAATTTAAAACGAACATTGAGAATGAAATACAAAAAAACAGAGTAAATAATTGGATTAAGAATCGGTGATGATAATACAAAAGTTATTTCATACCTGGAGCTGAGAAGTCGAGACAGTCAACATCACATTCAACATCATCATCTGTTAGCATTAAATCTTAGTACTTTTACTATTGATATTCTTCTTATAAAAAAATTACAATTACAATAATAATAAAAAATACAATTGTAATAATCTAAACTTACTATTGAAGAATTATGTTTGCAATATGAAAAAAGTGAATAGGCCGGAAATGACTTTCTTATACAGAATTAAATAGGAAACATAAAATAAACAAATCTAAAGTAGTAGATGATGCATAGTTCATGTAGCATATACACCCGTACCTGGAGAGGAAAGATCGTCGCACTGCATTTGATTTTCTAAGAACAATGATTTATAATTCATTAAAATGCATCCGTCAATGTATATATATGAAAATGCGAAACCATGTCAATAGTAAATCACATACCATCAGAGTTATCATGAGAAGCATTTGTATCATGCGGTGTAGTCTCGAGAAAATCACAATGCGTACCTTATATATATACATATATATAAGTATTGAAATAATGTTATAATAATACTTTCCATGTATCAATATTTTATAACTAAAAAGTGTTCTTATTTGATTGGATATGTAATTTCTACTATTATTTTCCTACGTACTATACATACCAGGTTGAGAAATATCCTTTGGCACGTTGGCATATTGTATTTGATTCTCTAAGAACAATGAGTTATAAGTCACTAATTTCATCTATCAATTAATATATATCAAAATGGGAAACCACGTCAATAGTAAATCACATACCATCAGAGTTACCATGAGAACAATTTGTATCATGTGTTGTGGTCTCGAGAGCATCACGATGTGTACCTTATGATAATACTTTCCATGTATCAATTATTTATAACTAAAAAATGTGTTCTTATTTGATAGAATATGTAATTTCTATTACTATTTTTCTATGGACTATACATACGAGAATGAGAAATATCCTTTGGCACATTGAAGGGAGAAGAATTAACATCTTCATTGTTATAGCGAAAATCGTTCATGAAATTGTTGCAACCAACATGTCCAGACAGCACATATGAAACTGAGCGAGCGGTGGGAGAAACTATAAGAATAAGTAAATAATTAGTGGTGTATTGTTGTTTTTTGAATTTACCTTATAAACATTTAATTACACGGATACACATATTTATACCATTTGTGATATCGGATAGAGGGTTTCTGGATCTTCTTCTAAGTGATTCATGATATTTTGCTCGTTTTGGGGCGCCGAAATCACCGCTTCCAGCATCAGGTAGTTGTGAATAATTTGATACTTCACAAACTCCTGATCTCTTGCTTGGAACATTGGCGGGATTATTAATAGTTTGATGAGTATTTTCGGCATCACTTATGGGTTCAACCCATGATGAACTACGTGACGGATGCAGTCTTCCACCATTTAAAATTGTTGATTTTGTCAATTTCTTCATTCACAGCTATCATTCATAATAATAACAACAACATTTAAAATAACAGTAGTAATAGTCATAAATAAGATATTCAACATAATTATTAAAACAGAAAGCAAGTCCAAAAATTATGCACTGGACATCTACAATTGTGAAATTGCAATTTCTTATATTAATACAATTTTGAATGAGTATCTCTAACTTGGTTTCATTGAATATAAAAAAATATCCGTAGGTCTTAAAAAAATATTCTAGCTTATGATGAAATGTGTATTAAGAACATCTTGATTTGTACAATTAATCATGAACATAGAACTTATACTCATTGTGTGATAAGGTATGGAATAATCTATTAATAATGAACAGTTCTCTGAAGATATGAAATTACTTGGCGTACAAACTTACTCCCTCCGTCCTCTTTTAAATGTCCCATTTTATCATATTGGGATGTCCCTATTTAATTGTCACATACCTTATTTGGTAAAGTTTGTGTGACTCAAAATCATTCTTACTTTATTCTTACTTTATTCTTACTTTATCTATTAATATCAACCACACAAACCTACTTTTCTTAAAACTCGTGTCACCCTCTTCCGGGACATTTAAAAGGGGACGGAGGGAGTACATATTATTAGATTCACGTACCAGTGAATAGTTAATTACTTGACATCAAATTGAACACCATCCCTTATCAGCTATCGCTCTCTTCACATAAGCCATGGATTGGAACTTGCTTGGGGAAGATGGTGTTCACCCCCTTTTTGTGGTCACCTGTGAATTATTGTGTAGCTAAAACTTGTAAATTTGCATGCACCGTTTGTGTTTTATTTAGTGTCTAATAGGGTTTGAAAGCATAAAGTCAATTATACGGAGTACTTGATTTAGTTACAATAGGAGACTTGGCTGTAAACTCCACATTGATTAAAACACAAATACCAGGAGGTGTCCGTTTATATATGGACTTTTTGAGTTGTATTGACTTGTGGCTCAGAACATTTTATTTGCTTGATCTACGGAGTATATATTATGGGTTTGTCAATTCCATTAAAGATATTACGGAGTGTTTTTTAGTGTTATAATGATATTAATTAACATCTTAATTAATTAACATCTTAATACAATGAGGTCATTATAACAACTTTGATGTTATAACTATATTATTTTTAGAGCCCGTTTGGTAGCACGAAGATCAGCTGATTTGGCTGATTCTACTGAAATTTATAAAGTTCTTGTTGAAGTGATTGCATTGGCTGATTATGCTGATTTAAGTAAAAATTAGTTTTAAAATATATTTTATTAATAAAATATAGAAAAAATTATATTTAAAAATAGCTAAAATGGTCATCTACAGTAACTTCAACCAATACAGCCAGAAAAGTAACTTCAACCTTACTTTTTCTGCTTATTACACAATTCAGCATGCGAAAGGAAAAATTACGTCTTTGGTGAAAAAAGTTGGCTGATAAGCCCGATAAGCCAAAAAACAGTGTTGCCAAACGTCCTCTTTTTTTATGATTAAGTTCTCATTTGAAAATGCTTATTTCGTAAACAAATGTTATACTCCCCCGTCTCTTAAAACTTTTCACATTTTTGAATTTTTTGGTCAACCGTGTTGAACTTTGACTAACTAAATATATTTATAAAAATTATTTATAATACAAAAATGATATTAAAATATTCCTTATTAAGAGTACTTTCATAAAATTATAAAATGAATTACTTCCCTAAAGGTACTTTTTTTAAAGTTATAATAATCCGTAATATTAATCAACATCTTAATACAATGAGGTCATTATGACTTTTATTATATAAATATATTATTTTTAGTATTTGATGATTAAGTTCTCATTTGAGAATGTTTATTTCGTAAAATAAAAATGTGGAGCTTCAATTGGGGCGTCCAATAGCTTAAGTGACAAACTTAATCTAGGACAGAGGGACATGGAGTATCCTATAAGTAAATAAAAGTGGTGTTTTCTAGCAGGTCAGCCAAACAGAACCCGCCGTCCGGCTAAAGCCGTTAACTAATATTCCCTCAATCCTAATTTGTAAGATATGTTTCCTATTTACTTGGTCAACACAAATCACTCCTAATCTCTTACTTTATAAATCAAATTTGTTTCTGGTTGTTGAGACTTTGTAAATCTTTTAGAGCCTGTTTGGTAACACTGAAATCGGCTGAATTGACTGACTCTGCTGATTTATGAAAAAATTAAATTTTAAATATATTTAATTAATAAAATAAAGAAAAAATTATATGAAAAAAGGTAAAATAGTTATCTACAATAACTTCAACCAATACAACTAAAAAAATAACTCCAACAATACTTTTTCTTATTATTAAATACCTCAGCGTGCAAAATTAAAAGTTACCTATTTGGTAAAAAAAAGTTGACTGATAAGTTAAGAAAAACAGTCACCAAACGGTAACTTAATGTAGTTTCTGAATACGCTAAAAAATTCTCAAAATATTTTGAGTACGGACAAGGATCTGTTTGCTTTACCATTTGTCAAACATCGTAAAACGTAAAGTATCTTACACAGTGGGATGGGGGGAGTATATACTTATGTGAAACTTAAAAAATTTATATTTTATGATAGCATTTTTAACAAAAAAAGATTTCATGTCATGATGATATTATCAATATTACCGTGTATAAATATATAATTGTCAAAGTTTAACATCATTGACTTCGAAAATAGTGTTTGGCTAAAATAAAAAGGGGCGGAGGGACTATTTGTATTCAATAAGCAGTTGCTTAAATGTATAACATGTATGTGTTTTTATGCCTTATTCAGTTATTTGTGCGCAGAGACAAAAAAAATCCAAACTGTTTTGGCAGGGAAGAATTCATGAAGGTAAGCATAAGCAAGATTATCTCAACATTAACTAATTTAAACCAATGTAAATCAAAGTAAATCAAGAAAACCGTCTCTTGAAAAACTAACATGTATGCAGTAAATACTCATCCACTAAAAATGACATGAAATTAAAGAGCAAAGATAATTCTTCATTTTTTGGCCACCTCAAACACCATCTCCAAAACCTTAAGGTTTTTCAACCTTGATAGTTTTCTGCAGTTTGCTAGTGGAGTTTTGAGTAGAAGATCCTCCATCATGTCCTTCCTCATAATCTAACAAAGACCGCTTTGACATTGGGGTAGTAGTCGTAGCATCATCAATATTCTGAAGTTCAATGATAACATTAAATATTGTTAGCTCTTTAAGTTTAAAATATCTAAATAGGGTGAGTACTAATCTAGAATGTGAATTTAAATGTTAGATGTTACATATCAATTTTTTGTGGCAAGATAATGATATGTTTACAAATTTTGAAATGAAATACATACAATACAAATATTTAGGAAGGCTATCCCCTGGTTGTCATAGATCATGGATACATGTGCCTATGGATATTTCATAAATGTTCCAAGTATATATTTGGTTGGGCTGGCCAAGTTTTGCTAATTTTCCACTTAGGCTAGAAGCAATCGAAGTAATCTTAAAGCATTAAGCCAATATACTCTTTAACTCTTGTGTTTTCAAGTGGTTTATACAAATGTTACTCCTGGATAATGATATGTTTACTTGATATGTTTTCAAGTAATCATAAAGCATTAAGCATCAATTTTATATGGCAAGATAATGATATGCTTACAAATGTTGAAATAAAAATATACATTATTCATATTTGGGAGAACATGATTATTAAATTTTTAAGCATTACTTACGTTTGATGATGTTACTCCTGGCTGACTGAAAAAAATTTCCAAATCGTCATCAGATTCCAGATCCTAGAGAATAAAATTTCAATCAATTGTTAGGCATTAAGAATGAAAAGGTCACGACAACAATAAATTAAAATAAAGTTGATTCATTTATATACCACTTGTTGTTCATCATTTGTTTTTGCCAGAAATTGGTTCATAAGATCATCATTTTGTGTGAGGCACCTCACGGAAAAAACTTTGTCACTTTTTTTAAAATCTTCCTCGCTTATATCAACCCTAAACAAAAGATGTAGACCCACTAAATCGTCAATTTCTTTTGACGTCGCTGTCTCATGAATGCCACTCTGAAAGATAAAAAATATAAAATTTATTATTTATTCAAATACATATTTAACATACTTTTAGAGAATTACTTAAAACAATTATTTTGAATTATCATACCAGATTCAGTTGTTCTCTGAGTTGGCCCGCAGTTTTGTGCAACAACTGACGACACTCGTGATCCCACAGACATAACGTAACAGAGCCCGAAGAATCCTTCACGATAACAGTAATCTTATATCGGTGTATTCCCTGGTCGAACACCTCATTGCATTTAGAGCACTTAAACTTGTCGCCGTGAGCAGAGGCCTTTTTAGAGCAAGACTCTTTTACACACCCTTGATAGGACCAAGCTCTTCGATTGAGAATATTTGTGATTTTACCAAAGATCCAACATCGGGACCTCTAAATTATGTTCACAATTAAAATATGTTAAAAACGAAGTATAGAGTAATCTCACAAAATGAGTTAAATTAAAATTCAAATAGCCTAACCTTAGAAATTGCAAGCAGTTCAGACATTGACTTAACTAATGCAGGATCTATAAAAAAACCGGTGGAGTTTGCAGATGATGAAGACTGTGAGCTGGCTACCAACCTTAAAGGAAAATAGTTAGATATCAAGAAGTAACTAATAATCAATATTTAGTAAAAGTATATAGATTCAAATGTTTAATATATGATAATGATTTCTACATCTCATTTTCATTTTTTATATTCTAAATATTGGCATATTTTTGTCAATAATCAAGTATGAATAAACATTCTAATTAAAAAGTTACTTTATGAATGCATTTAGTGCTACCAATCTATATTAAATCAATTTGTGGGAAGAAGCATCTTACTTAGTATGGAAGTCCTCAATTTCAGGGATACTCTCGTCCACTATAACCTTTGTATAGTAAAAGGAGTTTGCAAGAATGACCTCACCTATAATATTTTATATGTTATCTCTATCAAGTATAGAGAATACATAAATAACTATAGTACATGAATTAATAAATGTTTTACCATAGTCAGTCTTTGCTCTACACAACTGAAGCAGCATGATGTGTGGTTCGGCCGAAGTACTGGGCATATTCCTCAAAGCCTGTGCATACTCACCCCATAGTGTACACGACAACTGATTTTTACTGTTGGCATAAAATATAGATAGAACAAATGCAAGATTCAGCAACTCATGTAAATGGAAATTGTTATTAAATAATTACTTCTAAAAGATTGTTATGATGTGAGTTTATACTCCAGATCTTCGAGGATGAATTCTGCTGCTCGCGGCAATCCATCTGGTTGCAAGGAATATTTGATGTTGTCAAACTTAAACTTTCCAATTGTATCTGTAAAAACCGAAGCAAAAAATTTAGTTCTGTGAGGATAAACTCTTTAAAGTCAAATACAATGTTATGACTTATTACCGAATAAGTCATCTCCAGCTCTTCTATGAGTATTTTTTATCTCGGTGAAACTTTTTAATGTATACAAATCCTTTGGGAATTCTGTCTCTGATGAAAGATCACGCTCCTTGATCTTTGTGCTCTCCTTAAAATATAACCTGAAAGGATGTGAAGTAGGCCTGTAATCACCGTTATTAGCCCTAACTTCAAAACGCATCATTCCATAAAGACCATGCTCCTTGATTTTGCCCTTGAAGGTAGAAACATGAGTATTTTCAATTGTAGCTTGTATGCGTGTTCCCTGCATGAATATTAAAAATAGAAACTATTGGTTAAGCTTGTTTTCACTTCAAAGTTTATAAAAAAAAACAGGCACTATTACTTCCCAAAGATTGTTGGAAAAAATAAATAAAGCAGTTCGTAGGTATATTAGTTAGCATGAAACCACGGTATAAATGTTCCGATACAATCATTCCAAAGGTTGGTTCTGCAGGAGACATATTTAAACATATGCATACATAGGTTTTCTAGCTTTTAAAAGTGAAAAGAAAAACAACAGTCTGGTATTTTAGTTTCTCAAAAAAAAAAACAGGCTGGTATTTTAGTATCTCAATAAAAGAAAACAACGGGCTGGTATATGTTAAGCTTGGTTCTCTAAGTCATATTCAAACATATGCATAATGAATAAGAATCAACATAAGTTATGGTTTTACATATTAAGTTGCTGAATCACACTTATATTGAAATAAAACATGATAATTAACCAAGAATAGGCAATGTTAAGTGAAAATCAGACTTAGAACGATGATTAGCCACACACAAAGTATTTGAAAATCAGTATCTCATTGATGATTAGCCATACAAAAGAATTTGAAATATCTTTAGAAACCCAGCCTTTGTATTTTAGCATGGAGATTAAATCAAAATACTTGAAAAGCTTGGTTCTGCAGGAGACATATTGAAACATATGCATACAAAGGTTTTCTAGATTTTAAAAGTGAAAAGAAAAACAACAGGCTGTTATTTTAGTTTCTCAAAAAAAGAAAACAACAGGCTGGTTTCTGGTAGTTGTTAAAATGATGGAGATTGAACTTGTAGATGGATGGATATATCATCAACAGTGCAAGGTAAAAAACAACTTATTTAGTAGTTATCGTTGCTATAAGAATGAAGATTTGTTCTCAATACTCAGATTGTGTGTAAACATATCTTATCAATACCACTCCAGAAATTACATCATGTTTTGTAATTGCTCTTTCATGACCTGAACAGTTGAACATAGTTTTCTGAACTGAGCAATTTCAATGCACTATCTAATTACAGGTGTATTTATTTATATCGTTTGGAAAAATTGATGAAGGTAAGGGTAAGCAAAATTATCACAACAATAACTAATTTAAAACAAAGCATGATATGTTCTGGATCTTAGAAACACTCATTATTTATTCATAAGTTTTACGCCCTAAATCATATTTCTGAAAGAATAAATATCAAAGTATTTCATTCAAGAAAATCAACAGGAAATAAGTAGCTAAAAAAGAATAAAAACTTCATTTCTGCATTCTAAGATCAGAAATACTATAGACGTAAGGATCAGACTTCAAATTTAAAAGAAACAATGTATCAAATTTAAAACTAAACAATGCTATAAGTGAAAAATTATCAAAATACTTAACAAACTTTCATTAAAATATTTGCAATTTCAAACTGATGGCTGCTGCCATGTAGTATCAAGTGAAGGGTGGCTAAAAGCATCTATGAAATAAAATAAACAACTCCACATTTGATATGTTCCAACGCTCCATAAATATTAAAAATAATCTAATATTTAGAGATGATATTTGCAAAAACAAAAGGTTTGATAGATGTCTCTTACTAACACTCATTATTTATTCATAACTTTGAAGTCCTAAACCATATTTCAGAAAGAATAAATATCAAAGTATTTCAATGATTCAATCAACAAACTCAAAAGGAAATAAATATCTAAAAAATGATCAAAATCTCCATTGCTGCATTTTATCAAACACCTTAAGGGCGTTGCCCTTTGAACAGCCTCCGTTTAACCAATCCAAAGAAATCTTACAACATAGGGGTTTGTGACATAATATATAAAATGGAATACAACAGGCAGTGGCAGTTGTAGAAATCAGAACAAAGCACCAAAGCAAATGTAAAAGTACACTAAAAAATGAGTAATTAATAATAATTTTACCTCCTCATCCATGAGAACCATGTCAATCATGTATGGTTCGGAGGAATTTCCCTTGTCAGGAACAATCCACATATGTACGACTCTCACCAACAACACACCCTTGTCGTCCAGTTGCGTAGTAACATCCTTCAAAAGGACTTTGAAGGGGGAATTCAGAGTCATTGGAGAGTCAGTAGGTATGAGCGAAAATGGAGATAATTTTTTCGAAGGGTGTGATATATATATAAGGTTAGACTTGAGAGATAATAGTTACCGATATATAGAAGTCTGGTGTTGATGGACTCTCTGGAGTTGACGTCGGATAAATCTGAATTTCTTGGAAGATAAGAGAGCTGCGATGAAGACTCCGACTTCAGGGAGAAGTCTTTGTGTTGGAGGATTTGTGAGATAGCCCTAAATTCCCTTGGCGGCGATGAAGACTCCAACTTCAGAAAGATCGCTGCGATGAAGACTCCGACTTCAGGGAGAAGTCTTTGTGTTGGAGGATTTGTGAGATAGCCCTAAATTCCCTTGGCGGCGATGAAGACTCCAACTTCAGAAAGATCGACGAGCCTCTTTTCAGAAGAATGGCCAGGTATCAGAATTTACGCAAATGTCCCCAAGTAATGAGCGGGAAACAGACTTAAGTGAATTAATATATATATATATATATATATATATATATATATATATATATATATATATATATAGATTCGTATTTTTGTTATGTTTAATGGTTGTTTTACTTTTTTCTTTGGACCAGCAATATAGTATGATTAGGTGCATTATTTAACCTACCGAATTTGACGTTTGACTCATCTAATTATCTCAAATTCTATGGATCAGTGATATAGAAGTAAGGCCCAAAATAATAGACTTTCTATAATATACACCGCAAACCCACTGACTCTATATTACGGTGGTCTCTAATTAGTTGGACAATTGAGAGCCTTAACGTACACATGGGTATATCGAATTGGGCTATTGGTGCGTTGTGGTGGGATTTTATCCTTTTAGGTCCATAATATGGAGTCAGGGGCGGACGTAGGTTATAATGAAGGTAAGCATAGGCTTCACCTCAAAAAGTATTGTTAGCTTATGTGGTAGTAGCATTGGAATAAGATACTCCCTCGTCCCATATTTATCTTCGTAGTTCGGTTTACGATTCTTGACTGATAATAAAGCAACTTGATCCCTGTTCACACTCAGATTATTTTTAGTAAATTAAATTTACATATTCAGAAACTACATTAAATCCGCTACAAAGTCTGATCAAGAAAATTTAAGTTTGATACAAATTTGATATATAAAGTAAATGATTAAGAGTAATTTGAGTTGACCATGTGAATAGTAACTATGAAGATAAATATGAGACGGAGGGAGTACTACGTATCTCTTAGCCACCAGGTCGGTGTGTCCAAACTCTCCCAAGGCTTCAGTGATTTTTTTCCCACGGAGTAAATGTTATTCTCCCTTCTTCAAACAGTTGATGCGAACTTGAGATCCTATATCTTTACATTTAAAAAGCATCTAAATTAAGAATTCTCCACTCATTCTATAAATTATAAACCCAATCGGCATATTTTTTTCAAAATGTCAAGATAGTCATCCACTATTTTAGTTTCAATTTGTAAGTGTCTAAATATATACTGACTCCGTACCTTAAAACTTTGTCAAGTTTGACCGGCATGAGAATTAATAAAGTAAAACTGTGTGGTTGAGGTTTGTGCAGAGGAGAGACAATTAACTGGAACCACAAATTCTTTACTTAAAAAGGAAAGTGACAAAGTTAATGGGACATCCAAAAAAGGAAAGTTGACAAAGTTTTAAGGGACGGGGGGAGTAAATGATTAAATCCTTATTATTATTATTATAACATGCCTATATCATATTCTCTAATATTTCAATTTATTTAACATTTAAACCACCAAGTGTTATTTTAATTTTTGTTAATTTTTTATTGCACTTTCTCTTATCTTATAATATCTGCTATGTTAATTGTCAACGTCTTTTATTATTATGAGTTTCTTTCTTTTGAAGTGTTGTCATCTAACCACAAGGTGTATGACATTTTAATAATAAAATACTTCATCTAGCCTTTAAAATTTTGACAACTTTTCTTTTAGGATTGTCCCACTAATTAACTTTGTCACTTTCCATTTTAAGTAATAATGAATTTGTGGTTTTGATTAATTCTATCTCCTTTGTACAAATCTAAACAACACAGCCTTTATTTAATTATGAAAAAATGGACAAGAATAATCTCAACTATTAGTGATTTGCTTGAATTAATCTAAAGTATCAATTATCTCAAAATAATCCCAACTATTGAAAAGTCTTCTAAAAATACTCCACTTACTCATAAATAATACTCCCTCCATCCCCCTATAATTGTCCCATTTTTTCGTTTTTGGATGTCCCTTTATTATTGTCTCATACCATATTTGGTAACACTTGTGTGGCTCTAATTCATTCTTACTTTATTTCCACTTTATCAACCACATAATTCTACTTTTCTTAAAAAATCACACCACTCCCTTCCGTACCAATATTAGGGGGACGGAGGGAGTATAAGTTATTTACATATAATTATAAGTCACCGGAGTATTTTGAGAAAATTTTATGCACATATAATGTTCTTGTTCTCGCATAATTTTGTGCATATAGTGATCTCTAATGCTTAGGTCCGCCACTGTATGGAGTACATTTATTTTGGGAATTTTTCAGGAATAGACTAAAAATTGAAAGTGATATCACTTTTGTCACTACTCATTTATTTTTTCAAAAATAGATTACCTAAACTTTTCTTTTCAAAGATAGATCATATACATGCAACCAAGCTACTCGAAGCGCTCTCTACACTGCAAGTATGCTCTGCACTCTCTTTGTTAAACTTAGACCATTGTAAATTAGAAAATAAATCTTTTTGAAACTAAAAAAGTATAAAAACAGAAAAATTTAGAAATCAGAAATATTTTAAATCTTTGAAATTATAAACATACAAACTAACAGAAAACATATTTCTCTCAAAATATTAAAATAGTAGTATAAAAATAAGTAAAACTTTTTAAAATACTGTAAAGTTTTTTTTTAAAAAAATCTAAAACATTCTGAAAAATGCAAATAAGTAAAACCGTAGTACAATTTTAATAAAAAATCATGAAAGATAATAAAAATGTATAAATTATAGAAAAATACTAAATAATAGAAAATGAAAACTTATTTTTTAAAATCTAAAAAATAAAAATGTGAACATCAAACTAAATATTATAAAAAATAAAGAATGTAAAGAGTAACAATTTGGAGATTTAAGTAATCTAAAATCTTAAACATTATGAAATATATATATAATAAACTACTCCGTATAAAAATGAAAATCTAAAGATGTAAAAAAAATAGAATTTTATATACTAAAAAGGTACAAATGATGAAAACAAGATGCATGAAAAATTCCAAGAATAACTAAATAATAATGAATTTTTTTTAATTAAATTTGTAGAAGGAATTTCAATTTAAAAAATAAAACATAAATGAAAAAAAACATATCGAAAATTAATAAATGAAAAAATTGAAAGCAAAAGTGAAAACGATTTAAAATAGATTAAAACGTGGGAAAAATGTACAAAAATAACAAGTAATGTAATATTATTTTTTAGAAGAGTTCTGTACTCCATTATTTATAAAATTTAATATTTAAAAATTAATTAATAAAAGCGAAATATATAAATATAACAGTGTAAAAAGTAAAAACATATAACTTTCTCAAAAAATGAAAAAAAACGTAAGTTAAACTTATAAAAATTAGAATCTTAAACTTTCTAAAACTAAAATAAAAAAATTAAAGTATTTTGAAAACATGAAAATAGTAAAAAAATAGAATTATTAATAGTTTTAGAAAAAACAAGATAAAATAATAAAAAATAAAAATAAATATATAAAGTTTACAATGGAGAAAATAAAAATTAAATTAAAATTTATAAAAAAATACATTAAATAATGTTTTTAAGTAAAATATATAAAATAAAATTATAAAAATAAGAAAATTATTGTAACTAAAAAGTGTGTAAAATCAAAATAAACTCATAGAATTAAAATATGAAAAATTAAAATGATGAACTTGAAAAATAATTACATATTCAAAAAAAAGTTCAAATTTTCTAATGTAATTTTTCTTAAAGTACTTAAGCTTTTAATTATTAGTATTATCACGTTATTGTTAGTTTTTGTTTCTTATGATTTCTTTGTGTTTCTTTTTGTTGATAATTTTGAAAATTTTGTTTTTTATTGTTTCTTTATGTTTCTTTTCATATTGATAAATCGAAATTTAACATTAGGTGTTTGTATCTGAATGTTTTAGACTAAACGTACCATATATGGATAGTTCTATTTTAAAGATGTAGAAAAATATATAGAAACCTAAATAAACAAAACGTAACAATATGCCACAAAAAGCAACACAATACATGGCAACAAAATGCAATACACTTGATACAACAAAAAGCAACATAAAATAATATACAAGACTATCACAAAAGTATTCAATTCGATCAATCTATTATTCCAATTTGCTACATTTATCTAGTATACTATTTGACTTTGCGTCATGTTATAGTATTTCTACATGACCCTCATGACACCGCTAGAAGACTGCACCAGAAAAACCAAAGCAACAAACTCATTTTTTTAATAACTGAATGCTTATTTGCACATTCAACATGATAAAACAATTCCTGAAATGTTAATCGAGTGGAGTAGAATAGTTGTTTAGAGTACTATAAGAATTAAAAAAGGATTCACTTCATTGATGTTCTTGCATCCATCAACAAGATTACATGAGCTCAACAACAATTGTAGAGAGATTGAAGATGCCTCTCAAGCAACTGAAGGAAGGTTTAATCAACTAGAAAGATATTGTCTTGCTCTGGCCCCATATGATTGATATCGACCTCACCTTTAGCACCAGAGAGAGTGAGGAGCTCAATCATCACAACTTTCCCTCCATCACTAATGATGGGGTTATGGGACTAGGCCGAGAGCCTAATCGGCCCAGGCCCCGAACTTGGACCAGCAGGCCCAAGCCCAGTGATCTAGAGCTCATTCCGACCCAACCGATCAGATCCATCAAAGAGTGAAAGTCCAGGGCGGCCTGTCGTCCAGCCCAGCAGGGAGCCTACCTACCAGCCCAGTCAGCAGCCTGCCGTCCAACCCAGCAGGGAGCCTGTCTACCAGCCCAGTCGGCAGCCTGCCGTCCAGCCCGGCCAGCAGCCTGCCTTCCAGCCTGGCCAGGCGCCTGCCTCCAGCCTAGCAGGGAGCCTGCCTACCAGCCCAGTCAGCAGCCTGCCGTCCAACCCAGCAGGGAGCCTGCCTACCAGCCCAGTCGGCAGCCTGCCGTCCAGCCCGGCCAGCGGCCTGCCTTCCAGCCTGGCCAGGCGCCTGCCTCCAGCCTAGCAGGGAGCCTGCCTTCCAGCCTACCCGGGAGCCTGCCCTCCAGCCCAACGGGGAGCCTGCCTTCCAGCCTACCCGGGAGCCTGCCTTCCAGCCTACCCGGGAGCCTGCCTCCAGCCCGGTCAGAAGCCTTCCTCCAGCCCGGTCAGAAGCCTTCCTCCAGCCCGGTCAGAA